TCGCCCCCGTGGGGGCTGCCCTCAGTCAGAGTCCAGGTGGTTGTGGTTCAGGGAGTAACTTGTGTGATTTGCCTCTAAGGCGTCATCATCATCCTCATCCTCCTCCTCAAAAAGCTCGTTATCGAGGAAGATGCTGCTGCTCAGGCTGTACTCCCTGTCGTGGACACAGACCTCCTCAGGGGTGACGTGACAGGCACCACACACAAAGTCAGCAAACCTGGGAAGAAGCCGAAGCAGCACGTTGTGCACCCACGCCTGGTGGCCTCCTGGGAGCCCCTGGCATGCGAGGAGCTGGGGTAAAACATTTCAGGACTGGGACCAAGCGTTATCTGTCCCATCCTGCTTCCACACCCCACAGGCCCTCTGTGCCTCCGCCTCCCTATCTCTGAAGACAGGGGTGAGGGCACAGAGCAACCCAGGCATTCAGAAGCACAAGGAGACACAGGTTGGCCACCTCGAGCACGCTGCCAGGCGACATTACCTTTTGGGAGACTGGATGCGGGAAACCACAGTCCAGGCGGAGAACTCTGGGCTTTTGCAGTAACTTCGAAGCTCCTCAAGGGCTTTGCGCGTCTCCACCTCGCCCTGGACCCGGTACTCCTCCTCCGTCAGCAGGCGAGGGGGGCTCGGCCCAAGCCTGGTGCTCTGCACTTTCCTGTCCGGGAGGCAGCACCGGTTCCTGCCTGTCTCGTGCCCCCTGCCCTCCACTCCTCGCTCCCGAGGGAGGCTCCCAGTCATGAGGAGGAGCAGCGCACGGTCCCACACCAGCCCCAGGGAAAAAGGGACACAACCCCCTCAATGCACACAAGCCCCAGCCCCAAACCCCAGCGAAAACATCCTCATTTCTACAACACAGACTCCATCCAGCAGCTCATCCGGGCCTGACAGCGGCTCCACGTCAGGAGCGAGCCGAGGCGCTCGCGGCGCTCACCTGTAGGCGGCAAAGGCCCACTGTAGGGGGTAGTCCACGTTCTTGGTGCAGATGGCGATGACCACCAAGGCCAAGGCGACGGGATGGATCTGGATGCCCGAGTACATCAGCAGGAGGCCCAGGAGCTGCAGCGCCCAGGAGAGGATGTTGATGCTGCGCTCGTTCTCCAGCGGGCCGTACCTGTAGCACACGCTGAAGCTCAGGAAGCCCACGAGCAGCAGGTAGCCTGCGGGAAAGCGGAGGGATCGGGCTCAGCAGGGAGACGACCGAACCTCCGCCAGGGCTGCAGCTCGGCCTGAGCCTGGAGCCCTCCTCTCGCAGGGGCACGAGAGTGGCGGCTGCAGCAACAAGGTGGGCAGGAAGCCTCAGCTTTTTCCACCAGCAGCTCCAGGAGAAGACTGATAAACCAGCAGGTCCAAAAAACTCACACCTACCTAGGAGGTACTGCCAGTAGCACCTGCAGATCTGCTGCAGGTTCTTGAAGGTCAGCTGAAGCAGGTACAGGGAAAAGGACCAACCTCCTACCAGCAGGAAGTAAACGGGACTTCTCTAGAGAGGAGAAAGGGAACTCAGGGCAGGCAGGGGCAGCTGTAGCTACTCCTACTTCCTCCCAGCTGCTGAGCCTTGCTCCAAGCAAAGCCTGACACTCACCTTGGGCATGACCCTGGACATCATGTAGACAACGATGAGCAGCGAGGCCAGCACGCCAAAACTAATCCCAGCTGAGTAGTAGAAGAGTTGGCTCCTGTGGAGACCACACACAGGCACAGGGAGTTTTACAGCTCACAAACACCTCTGCACAAAAACACCCGCTGGGAGCAACCCTCAGGAGCCTGCAAGCCCAGCCACCCCACCCAGCCCTCCTTGTCCCCAGCTCACGGGCAAAAATGAGGTGACTCACCTGCTCAGCATATCCCCACAGAAGAACAACATCAAGCCCAGGAAGAAAACCAGGAACAGCTTAGGGTCAAAGCCTGGAAAGTGAGCGAGTCCATAGCAAGAGGAATCCTGGCACAGTGCCCTCCGGCTTGGGCTCCAGCATCCCAGGCGAACCTCCGGCAAGCGCCCCGAATTCCCCCACTTCCTACCCCAGGGACACAGACACACTTCCGACCTCCCAGCCTTCAGACCACAATCTCTCCTGGCCACGTCCTTGTTGCCCCACCTCGAGCCCTCATGCTGCCAGACCCACCCCCAGAGCCCCCACCAGGGAGGAGACGTACGCCGGAAGAGGATGACGCAGTACGTGGTGTTGGCCTCCAGCACCTCGACCTTCAGGCAGGTTTTGTTGCTGTAGAGATCCACATTGATGCTGGTGTCGTTCAGCTTCTCCTTCAGGAAGGATAAAACATCCCACAGGCTGAACTTCTCCAGCTCCTCCTCGCTGTCCACCTGCGTGACTCGGATCATCTGGTTGCTGCTGACCCGGATCTGCGTGGGGAGGGAAGCAAATGGGGTCACGGCCGC